AGTTTCTTAATGAGAGCTGCCTAATTGAGCGTCCAAGAAAGTTTTAAAGGGAAGATATAGGTCAATTCATTTTTCAACCCACTCTTGCCTCGTGTTCTAACTAGAAATACGTGGATTAAATACGAGGAGGTTAGTAAAATTTTAGGACAATGCCTGCCTAATCGAAGTAGGCAATGTCAATTTTGTTTCGTACAAACTCTCCGTATATTATTATTTATGACAAGTGTCGGCTTTCGAACTCTTTTAGGGGTACTAATAAGACGGAATGTTATATCTAATTATTATTCATGTTTATGCATTTAATGATAATAATGTATTTGGATTGAATGACATTTTTTTTTTTTTTGTGAATCATGTGACTTATAAAGTGATGCGAATAAATCATTGGCACTTGAAAGGCATAAATAGTTTTGTATGTAAAAATTGAATCAAGATTATAAAGAACTAGTAATAGGGTACATCACTCGATAGATTTTAGCGATGCAGATGCGTACATTCACTATTTCGTGGACAAGTAGTAACTTCTTTATAAAAAGAGAGAACTAATATTAGACAATTTTCATGTAAAATAAAGTCAAACGAACACTAAACTTTGATTAAAAAAAAAGATTTTTTAGGAAACATTTTTTTTTCCTTTTTTTATTTTTTACTTTTTGGCAATGGAAACAAATTTTATAATCAATTGTAGAAAAAATTATCACTTTAATGGATAATTTTTGTGTAAAACAAAACCAAACGAACACAAAATTTAAAAATTTTCTAGGTGGAAAATTATACCAATCAAACACACTAAATTAACAATTTCTTGCAATACAATTTCTAGGCAATTACTTTCCCTGTAATTTATTTTCTTTCCATCCATTTTTCACCATTGCAATCAAACGGACCCTAAATGTTTTACTGCACTACAACCAATTATTTGTGATCTGGTCTATTATTTTGAACATTAATGTTTAATTCAAGCATCTAGATGTTGTGATCATCCTTCCAAACATCATTTTGTACGCATGTTCTGATGGGTGAATTCAATAGTAATAGACATTATTAAAGAAGAAAAAGAAGTTAATATATTATCCAGTTCTAATCTAGTACTACATACCAAATATGCTTTGAGAGTAGTCTTGAATGGCGTAAACTTGATATGTAGAATTTGGACATCACGTAATTGATAAACCTCGAATTTGGAATCATGGTATAATCATGCTGGAGAAACATATGTTGTGTTACAGTAAAACTTTCCATCGAGAGCCGGCTCTTGATTTTTGCATGTTTTAAACCCATTTCTGATGATTACACGAGCCAATTTATAATAAGCTTTTCGGTTTGAGAAGGCCACGGTTGCTTGGAAGTTTTTCTTCTATAAGCCACACAATCATTTCAGTAAAAATGGTGCTGTTTTATGTGCTTGGATGAGATGGCCTAAGGTGCCCGTTGCTCTGGTGCATGGAAAGAAGTGAGTTCATTAGCGTTATCCACACTTGACATGTTTTGTACCATGTGCAGAGTGACTTATGGAACCGCTGGAGTTGGCCTTGTGTCACAACAACTATATTCTGCACTTACAAGCCTACAAATGGGACTTACAGAGGATAAAATGGATTGGATTGTTGTGCTGTAGTAAACCCGACTCTCTAATTGATCCTTTTTCTGGTTCCCAAGATTTATCTCAATTTGTATGGACCAAGTACCATCTCTTCAGTCTTACTGTCTTTTGTTGATGATGCTCTTTGTTTATTAAAGACAATTTTCTCTATTATATAGAATTCTTATGTCAGTGAGCTTGTTTTTTATTTTGTTTTCTTTACGTTAAAAGTCACTCTTTCGAAATTAACCTCGGAAATGGGTGAAACAGATGGGAGCAGCTGATGGGATAAAATGCGGTTAAAAAGTGGATAAAAGTTGTAGATATAATGCAATGTATGATTAAAAATGAAGTTTGACAAGCTTTTTGGCAAACAAAAGCTTTACGAAACTTACATTATAAATATAAATATACTATCTGATTAGAAGTCACGCAAATATTCGTAATTTGTACAAAATCTTCACAGTTTACACCTTGATTCTAGAATAAATAATTTGTTCTTAATTGGTTTTGGCATATGAATGGATAAAATCTCCATTAATACGGTGGGTTATGGTTAAAAATTAAAATGCTAATAATTAATTATCATATTTCGTCGATTCAAGATCTTCAACTCCCAAGTTGAGCATCTTTATTTGGAACCCTTATTTCTATTTCGAAAAGTTTACTCAGTGCTCGCGCGCGTGTATTATGTATACCTGAGCTGTAAGCCTAAAATGACTGGCGAAAGACTCGTTCAAAAGCTAGTAGGGACCAGTATTACACACAAGACAACAAAAATGGAGAAAATTGTACAGAGCTAACTGAGATATTCAAACAGAGAGAAAGTGGCACTATCAGAAAGTTGTATGAACAGCAGAACAAAAAATCAAGAGCAGTGCATGTTCAGCTTGTGATATATAATTATTAATTAAAAGCTTTTAACAAGTCAAAGGTGGTGGATTGAGTAGCGTGGCTGTTGAATTTTACTGCAATTATTGCATATTTATACGTTTACTTATAGATAAAGTTGATTCAAATTAATCTTTGTAGGCCACCCCCACAAATTCTCTCTCATTCTAATCTGCTGTCTTTTGCAGGGAAACAATACACATCATTGATGCCTTTCTGCAGCCTCTTTTTTTATTAGTCTTGTGAGCTTAGACCAATTTTTTCAATTTTAGGCTGAATATTTATTGAAAAAAGATCAGCCATAATATACCTAACCTAGCTTCGAAACAATCGATGTCACGATATGTCTCACACATTCTAATGAGTCCAAAATCTATAGGCATATCTTCGTTTTTAGGACGGAAAAATACTTACGTCGCCATGAAGTAATCTGAGATGACATTAACATTAATGATACTTGACTTTTTAAGTTGTATACTGTGCGAGTCAATCCCACCAATTAGCATTTTTGATTGGATAGCCTAAGCTTGGAGACTAGGCCTTAGGTGACATTGACAAACCATCCCCCACAAATAGTGGTGGCAAATGGGCCGAGCGGCTCGTCGGCGGCAATGACGAGCCCAAGCCCGAGCTCAAGTCGAGCAAGTTGGCCCGCTAGGCGAGTCGGGCTCGTCCAAGGCGGAGGGTTAAATTTTTTTTTTTTTTTAAAGGTTCATCTTATAGAAAAAAAAGAAAATTTGACGAGCTCGCAAGCCAAAGCTCGGCTTGACCCACAAGCCACGAGCTCACGGGCCGAGTCGAGCTGGCCCGCGAGTAAATAGCTGAGCTCGTGCGCATACGGGCTGAGCCGATCTCTACCCACAAGTCATGGAGGATACTTGAGTAGGGATTGAGGTGATTAAGGCGACGTTGGCTCTATCCTTGCCTACACGAAAAGTCATTTGCATCTGAAAAGATCACACCTCAATAAAAATCTCCAAACTGTGGACTCGAGCTCAGTTTTTTCTTGGTATCTTTTTACCCATCAACATATTGTTAAAGCTTATTACAAGAAAATGAATATATATATATTCATCAATTAAGGCTCCAAGTAACCTCTCCAAAATCGAATAAGACAAGGAGAAAAGGTCAATTTTTATAGACAAGATAGATGTGATAGTCATTTTTATTTTTTTTCTTACCAGAAAATTAGTTTTATTCATTGTATTCCTTTCACGTCCTGCTTTCATTGTGGGTCCAATACTGTTACTCTCAATTAAGCTAATTTTTACTATTAATTTTTTTAAATATGATCTTATCGTAATTGATTAGCTTCTATTCTATATTATGTGGGGCCACAACTCACTAGTACCTTGTTCTCTCTCTCTCAGAGTTGAACTTTGCTACCTTATAAAAACTTGAATTTAGCTATTTTGATAGAAAAATCGTAACAGATGCAATGACATAATTCCAGTTGACAATAAATGATTTGATGGGGATGTTAAAAGTGTTTAAAACAGTCTAATGATGAAATGAAGTATGACATTATGTCAAGAATTATGTTATTGTAGCATGATTGTAAAAACTTTATGAGCATTAACAACAATAATACTTGCAGGTTCGGAGTTTGCTTTTATTTTTTCCCGTTTGATGCACATTTTGGGTGTAAAAATGCATTTTTACTGTTGATGTAATGAGGAATATGTGGTTAAAAAAGAAGAAAAATTTATTGATGTGATATAAAATATTATTTTATTGAAAAATGTATGGTTGAAAATGAGTAGAAGAATGAGAATGAGAAAAATAATACCTGTCGAATAGTGGCTTAGAATTTATTTATTAGAACCGATGATTAGTACAAATCAATAAAACTTCTATTTACACGCCTATGAGTATATTAGTTTTCAAAAAGTTATACGTACGGAATAAATAAATAAATAATATATAAAAATTTAAATTACTCTTGAATATGAGATAAATAAACAGAAGAAATCAGACAATTAACAATTAATTTATTAATTGGGGAGAGTAATTACTTGTCGGCTTCGATTATTGATGAATGATTGATGACGGGAAGTAGAGTCATCAACGGTCCAAGTAGCTATGAGCCGCCTTCAGCAAGACTCCATGGTTTTGGCCTAAAGAATCATTGATTCGTAATAATATAATTAAAATTTATTCATTATTTTCAAAAAAGGAAATTAAAATCCCAGATGATACCTTGTTCAGTTGTTTGATAGTCGTAGAGAGTAAAGAAAAATAATGAATTAGAATATAATTTAGATTCTGGACTAAGAAAGACAAATGAGAAAACAATTGGTCTACTGTTCTGTCATTCAAATTGCTTCATTAATTTATACATAAAAGTCCCATCTTTTTCCACTTTACTTAAGAATTCCAGTGATAATTCCATCCCATTCCCATGTTTCTTCTTCTCCAGCTATTATAGTCTCCCATTCTCTCTTTTTCTCCTGTATTATATATAGTATTATACTGTCATTTGCATGTGATATCAAGAAAACCCAACAGAAACTTCAGAACAACAAAAATGGGGAGAGCTCCCTGCTGTGACAAAGCCAACGTGAAGAAAGGCCCATGGTCGCCGGAAGAAGACGCAAAACTTAAGGCCTATATTGAGAAGCATGGCACTGGTGGCAACTGGATTGCCTTACCACAAAAAATAGGTACAGAATTTGGGTTTTTCTCTCTATGATCTTAATTGAAAGATAATCGTGTTTAAAATTTTATGCCAGGTCTTAGGAGATGTGGAAAGAGTTGTCGGCTTAGATGGTTGAATTATCTGAGGCCAAACATCAAGCATGGAGGGTTTACAGAGGATGAAGATAATTTAATCTGCAGCCTTTATATAAGCATTGGAAGCAGGTAAATTTACATTTTTCTTCAACTTTCCATTAATTTTCTGTACTAAAGTAAGGGGTGTGTGTTAAAATGATTCACTTTGTGAATGAATAGATGGTCGATTATAGCGGCACAATTACCTGGAAGAACAGATAATGACATAAAAAACTATTGGAATACAAGGCTGAAGAAGAAGCTTCTAGGGAAGCAACGTAAAGATCAACAGGCTCGCCGAGGGATCTGCCCTAAGCAAGAAATGAAGATGGAATATGAGAATTACTCAGCTAATGAGTGCTTCAGTTTATACCATTTGCCACCACAGCCAGGTGCGGCGCCGCCCTTTTCAGTGGCCTATGGAACACAAACAGCAACTCACATCAAAGGGCAGGAATCTCTCACCAGTAATTTGATTGCCCAGTTTGGGGAAAGATTTTCTTGTGATCATCATGATCAGCAACCAAACTACACTGGGTTAATCAACTGCTCTAATCTATACCCTTCCGATATTACTTCGTCTACATGCACAAATTTAATAAATAGCACATGGCCACCATTGATGAGCGATTACTATGCCATTAATGGTGTAGCTTTAGACCATTTTCAAGAAACTAATGACATCCCGGGAGAGCTTGATGAGGTCATCATCAATGGCAACATTAATCCACAACAATTGCACGGACTGGAGAATTTCTCTACATTAGTGGACATGGTTAGCAGAAACTGTACTTCTCAAGAGATTTGTACCTGGGGAGATACAAGTTCTCTTGTTTACTCTTCTTCTATCTCCAGTTATGAAGTTTGACCACAAAAAATTTGGGCAATTCTGTATCAAACTTTCATTGGCAGTAGGAAATTCAGTGCCTGTATTCCTTCAGATTTACTTTTGTTGAACATGGACTTGTACTATTCACTTTCATCTACTGAGATTCTTCTTAATTTACTAGTATAATATGAGCAATTTTTTTATTTCATTTTTTGGGACATAACTCTTGGTTGCTGCTGAAACTGGGAATATTAGGAGAAAGAAAATTGATTTGCTGCTGGGTTTCAGTGTCTACTGTTCAGTGCCTCTTACTCAATGTAAAGTAATGATCTATAAAGTTAATTGGAAGTGTGATATGGTCAAATTTTGTGTATTTTTCACAAGTTTCCTTCGAAGTTGCCTAAAGGAAAAAACATTATTAATAAAGTTGTTTTGGCCACAACTTGTTAGGCTTTAGCAAGTAGGGCATCCAAGGCTGGCGGCATCTTCTTATTGTTATCTTCTTGACTGCAGAACAGCACAATTTGCTCCATCCAATCTTGTTCTCATAAGAGCAGACATTACTTGAATGTGGCTAATCAGGTACTAACACGAGATGAACACCGCACATTATTTCTTGCATTTGGATAATGATGTGCTTACCACTAGGGATTTTTAGTATTTTATACTGAGTTTGACAAAATTTATAAATTCCATAAGTGTTATACACTTATTCGTCACTCATTCATATTTATTTGTAAATTCTTCTAAATCAGAGGATTAGTCTATTTGAGGCATCCGTGTTTACTAGTTGTCACAAGGATTCCAACGTGCATGTTTGCTACATCGAAATCAACAGAAGTATGTGTATTACTATGAACAAATTGGAAACGAGATTTCTGAGTGACAATAATAGGTTATTAAATTAACTCTAGAAATGCCCCAAATAACCTGCAAAGAAGGGGGTGAGTTATTATCCACGAGACACTTCAATACGATCAAGTACTATGAAATCATAATTGAATTATAGAACTCGTTAGGGGCGTGTATTTGATATATAATTTAGGAGTGCTATGTACAACTTACAAGACTCTATTTATCATTGTCACCAGTGACAAGCTACCATTTCAACTGGACCCATTAAAGATTTTATTCATGAAAACCATGTGAAGATAGGATTTACAAGAAATATCACACCTTTAATCTGTGTAATTTTTGCCCTTGATAATACATATTTGTCGATGGTCCTGTCATTCAAAACTTATACACAAGACCTTTTCAAAGTAGAGAACACAGTAAAAGAAAATCTTGACTGGTTCCAAATGTTCCTTTAGTGGGATCAAATTTACCCGGTCAACCTCAACTAGTTAAATCAGTCTCTCTTTTCAACAAAAAAAAATGGCCAAAAGTGTACAGTAAAATCTCGAAGCCATAAAGTAAATCTAGAAGTTCGTGAAATTTTCAACGTTGTTCTCTTTGCAATCAAATTGCTAACTCAATGTTGACTGCAGTTTAAAGCAAACACAGAACACTTTCTTTTCATTTGGTGATCTAGAAAATGGTATTTGTTGGTAAGTTCTATCCTATGTCAAAATGTGCTGTATTAATTGTGTTGTGATTACTTTCGTGGGTAATGCCTTTAATTAAGAGCCTATAGTAGTTCTTAAATCAATGGGAATCTTGTTTCGAATAAAATGAAAATAATATATAGATATATATATATATATAAGATAGGGCTGTCCATGGGTCGGTTCGGTTCGGTTCTGAAGATACCCGAACCGACCCAAAACTTTCGGGTATTTAATAAATGGACCCGTCGGGTCCAAAT